GTCTGGCATGGAAGCTGAAATACCCGGTAATGTCGGGGCGGTGATGGCGATACCAGGCGTTGTTATGGAGGGTACGATGCGGTGCATGCTGGTAGAATGCGGTTCTAGCCGGCTGTTGCGCTCCCAAGGATGGTTTCTTCCTAAAGATAACTCTCTCCTGCGGTATTGAAGTTCCTCCAGGACCTGCTTCGAGGCCCTCGCGGGCGTCGGGATTCCTAGGCGTATGCCGTCATCGGACTCGGGTTTCACCAATGAATGGCTTTGGCGAAGGCATTTGCCGTTTCGAGAATGGCCTGGGCGGAGGCTATTCTTTTCCCACTCTTACGTCGACGGGGCGCAGCGATGACGCAATCGTTCTCCTCTTCCCCGTCCGCCTCCTACGTACGCTGCGATTGATTCATCGTGACATCACTCAGCGTCGCCGGGCGGTGGGTCAGGGTGAGTCAGATGCAGGAGGAGGGGGTATTGGTGCGAGGTAGGATACACCTGGGGCTGCCAGGTGTATCCTTAATGGGGGAAGGGGAAGAGGAGAAGATGGGGATTATTTTTAAACATTTAATGGGATGGTTGGCCATCCGTTCTTATTCCCGATCACAGCAATGGTGTAGAGAATATTTAGGCCTATGGGTAAAGAGGATGGAATATGAGGAAATACGAATCTTAAACATTGAAATGCAGCGTGACGGTGAACGTTTTTATATATCAAATGATATAAAGATGTATTCAGGTAATTATTTTAACTGAATGATAACAGCATTCTCTTCCCTTCTTATCAATTGTAGGGTTTCACTGCATTTCAGAGGAAAAAATTACAGCACCGGAAGAGGGAGTTTAAAGAAAAGAAAATAATATAACCGGAAGAGAGACGTAACGAGAAGGTGGGCGGGCCGTTGGAAGCGGAAAGGTGGACGTGTAGAGAGTACATGTTGTGGTGAAACGTCGGTGGCAGGGAGGGAGGGCATTCCTATTTTGTAACGTCATAGAGCAAGACAATAGTAATTACCTTTGTTGAAGTGTTTCAAGTACTTGGTGTCATGTGGAATCTACGTAGGTAAATATTTAATTGGTGTATTTTAATGGACCTCTTTGCATTGTGAATACGGGAATTAGATGATTAAGAAAGGCCAAGATTCATTTGTCTTACGTGATGGACTTGACACTTTAATGTCTGTCAAATAAAAAGGGGAAATTCATATCTTCACGCTCAATATTAAAAACATTAATGTAGAGACACGGTACACCATTAACAACTATTTTCGTACCTGGGCTAGGGATCATCTGCCTTGAGGTCAGGTAAGGTCCTCTTGACCTTATAGGGTCGGCTGATCGTTTGAGAGTTGAATATCTGGGCCCAGTTTTCAAGAAGAGTTCCTGTCAGCCAAGATCCACAGATTTCCCAGTTCTGGTCAAAAGATAAATGTTAGGTCATGCTAATGTTTCTGCATCTAATAAATCAGTCGGTAATACTACCCTCAGTTCTCAGATTTTTTTCCGAATAAATATCTGGAGATGTGTGAGGGTACACCCGATTACATGCAAGCAGAAACTCGAGGGTGAAACTCAAGGGTGACCTTATCTCGAGAGAGCAAGGAGCTTGGGCGGGGACGTGACCGGCTTCCGTGTATGACGTCATATGCAGAAAGTAAGGGATGAGGTCGGGAACAAACTCGTCACTTGATGAATGACAAGGAAAAAATATAGAACGAAATGTTATGTGCGGTTTTGATTCTTCATTGGGATGTGACGTATTTTACGTTAGATTGTAGGTATTCGCGATGTCATATTTGGATGAGTGTATTCATGATGCCATATTTGAACGTGGGTATCCGTGGTCATATTTGAATGTGGGTATTCGTGATGTCTTCTAAGTGCAGTCTCATGGAGAGCAAGTTTATGGCGTGCACTCGCTCCTTTCTGTTCTATTTTCAGATCTCTTTTTAGAATATGCATAGTTTCCTTTGCTCAAGCTGTCAAGCTTTTCTAATTTTTTGTTCCCCTTGTTTTTTATTCTTTATTCTGTCGTGTTTTTATTATCGTATAATGTGTCCCATCCAGTTTTTCTCTCAATAATTGATATGGTCTATGATTTCTCGTTCTCTGCTAGTCCGTCTTAGCCCTTCCATTCTTCACAATTCCCACAATTGAAATACTTCTAATGTCTTTCTATGAAATCTGATTTTGATTAATAGATATGAGTTAATCCTACTATGTGTAACCATGTCTTTATGATATAGATAGTGTCCCTTATCGTTTATACAAAAGGAGGAAAATTGGGCGTAGTCGATATAGACCGTAATCGGTTGGTAAATGCAGTATGTGATGTATGGACCAGAATAGTAGATAGGCTTACACTGTAAAAGATAAGGAAGACAAGGGTTTCAGCACTAAAGACACTCTACCGTGAACGTATTGAACGGGACGAGTAATGTGCGTGCGGTGCAGTTCTTAGGGCGCGAGAAGGCAGCCGGGTGATTAAGAAATACACGTAAGCTATTTTTAGAGAACCACTGCTGTTGTGGCTTGTAGGAAATTGTTAAACGACTTTAACTTGTCTAATTATATCGGTGATGATATAAATCTGAAGGCTGTGCTGTGTCGCGCGGAACGGGGTGAGGGGGTGAAGTGGAGGTGGAATGAGGAAGGAATGTGGAAGTGGTTATTTGAGCTCTTTTATACATACTAATATATATATATATATATATATATATATATATATATATATATATATATATATATATATATATATATTATATATATAATATATATATATATATATATATATATATAGATATATATATATATATATATATATAATATATATATATATATATATATATATATATATATATATATATATATATAGTATATATATATATATATATATATATATATATATATAATATATATATATATTAATATATATATATATAATATATATATATATATATATATATATATATATATATATATATATATATATATATATATTATATATATATATATATATATATATATATATATATATATATATATATATATATATATATATAATCTCTCTCAACTGTTTGTGGCATTGAATTTCCCTTGTAACTTCTCTTGCTCCCTGATGGTTCTCTCTGAAGCATGTTTGTCATTTACAGTTTATAATCTCATCATGATGTGTGTGACGATGACAGTTACGTTGTGAGATACAGTGGGTGTGTTTAAGGTCACACAGTGGGCGTCACCTCGTGCACCGTGTGAGTGACCGGGCATGGGCGTCTACACAAGCAGGACCAAGTAGTGGTCTTACTTGTGTACCGTATTGGGGAGATATCTGTCCGCATGGATGAGTGGGTGACCCCCCACAGCACTCCGCTCACCCACCCCCTCCCCCCCTATGCTCACCTCCATCCCGCTCTCTTTCTTCCCGATGCTCTACCCCACTTTACCCCCCACTTTGCTTTCTTTCTTCCCCACGTTGCTCTCTTTTCCTCCCCACTTCGCTCTCTTCTTCCCTCCACCCCACTCTCCCGTATCCCTCTTCTATCTTCGTCACCCCCCCCTCCCTTCCCCCGAGTTCTTGTTCTTGGGTGTCTCGGGAATGACGTCCTCGCGTTTTCTCTCTGCAAGCGAGAAGAACCAGGTCGGTTGCCACATTCTTCTTCGTCAGGACCTTGGCGTGAGCGGCCATTCATTTTTTTTCTGGTGGGGGGCTGGGGGGGGCGAGGGGGGGCATTCTTTTGACTTGTTTTGTCATTTTTCAATACTGCTTTATTTTTGTATTTAGGAATTGCGTAGTTGTGTGTCGTATTTTCTTTTAGGCTGTAGGTGTGTGTGTGTGTGCGTGTGTGTGTGTGTGTGTGTGTGTGTGTGTGTGTGTGTGTGTGTGTGTGTGTGTGTGAATTGAAACGAGCAATATTGTCGTTCTCTATTTCACGATTCATATTTGAATAGTTTATCCCGGATTTGTTAAAAAATGGAATTTTCATTTTGCGTTGTAATATATATTTTCTGTGTATGATTTATATATTCAGTGAGAAAGATTCGGAAACGATGTTTGCCCTATCTTGTCAAAAAGTGACGTCGGCAGATCCCGGCGCCAAGTGCCAGGCTCGAAAAGCACATCAGTTACGTAAGTGTGGTGGCGCCGCAACTGGGAAACACACACACACGCACACGCACACACAGCCACCTACCCTTGTTTTTGCCTCGTTGTATCTTGCAAGGATCCAGCGACGCGTTTTGTGATCAGTGTGTGTTCAGGTTGGGTTGCGATGGAAACGCTTTTTGTTTGGGAATTAAACGGTGGATGTTGTATTTGCTTGTAATTCTTACTTTACTATTTTTTTCTATCTCGCCCTCTGCCTTGCCCCACATATCACGTTTTACACCACTGCTATCACCCATCAACTACAACTGGTGGTCTTCATGACAATATAGAACAGTATGACAGTCATATCATATCATATCATATCATCATATCTGACATAGAAGACTCTTTTTCATTTGTTCGTTACTTTAATGACCATTGTGCTATTATTATTGTTGTACTTTTGTTGTAATTATTATTTTAATAATTACTGCTCCTGTTATTAATTTCCTGTAATTATCATTATGATTAGTATTTTTGTTAAGATTATTGTTGTGATTATCATGTTTGTTATGATTAGAAACGTGGTTATTATGTTTGTTAGATTATTATTGTAATTATTATTATTTCATTTTATGATTGCTGTTGTAATCACCGTCAACTGCATCAGTTTATTATTTATATAACTATGAATATTATAATTGTTATTACTCTAGCTGATATTATTGTAATGTTGACCATGTGACATTGATAACGATGTGTGCTTTGAACTACGTCATCTGTAATATGCGCAGCTGTTAATCACACGCATGTCAGTAAAATAAACACATTTGCCTATGCTCCATAATTTTTCTTCTTCCTTTTTTCTCTAAACTTCAATGTCGACTCTCATATTGAAGACGGTCCTAATTTTTTTTTTTCGTTTCAGGAGCTGCTGGCCGACCATGGTGGGCCCGCGGCGTCGTCCCTGTCCTCCCTCGAACCCCTCGACACCATCTTCGTCAAAAACGTGAAGCCTGGCAGCGCCGCGCACCTGGCCGGCCTCAGGACAGGTGAGGGAATGTGTATTCGCAGGCAGCAGCTGTTGATCGACTAAGCGCCGATGTTCTTTATTTTTTTTCCAGTTATTTATATGTAAAGGCAGGTCGTTATGTTTGCGATTTGTGGTGGCACGGTTCGGCTGTGGGTGGTGCCACTTTGTCTTGTTAGCGGTGTGATCTTGCGTCATTTGTTTTAATGGCAGTTGTTATATATATGTATATATATACACATATATACACATATTTATATACATGTATATATACACATATTTATATACATGTATATATACACATTTATATGTATATATACATATATACACATATGTGCATGTATATATATACATATATATAATTTTATATATATTGTATATATATACATATATATAATTTTATATATATTGTATATATATACATATATATTCATATATACATATATCTGTGTGTGTGTGTGTGTGAGTGAGTGAGTGAGTGAGTGAGTGAGTGAGTGAGTGAGTGAGTGAGTGAGAGAGTGAGAGAGTGAGAGAGTGAGAGAGAGAGAGAGAGAGAGAGTGAGAGTGAGAGTGAGTGAGTGAGTGAGTGAGTGAGTGAGTGAGTGAGTGAGTGAGTGTGTGTGTGTGTGTGTGTGTGTGTGTGTGTGTGTGTGTGTGTGTGTGTGTGTGTGTGTGTGTGTGTTTAAAATGTAATATATGTAATGTATGTATATATGTATATATATGTATACATATGTGTTTGTGTGTGTGTATATATATATATATATGTATGTATATATATATATATATATATATATATATATATATATATATATATATATATATATGTACACTATATATATTACATATATATTATATTTGTGTGTGTATACATGTATATGTATACATGTATATATACTAACACATACATATATAATATTGTATTGCAGTCCGTAAAGGTAGTATACAGTTACGCCGTTTCACAGCTGTTGAACACGACGCACACATTTTAACATATCATGTTACTTCATTTATTACATCGACTCATAATTCCACCTCATTACACTTTTTAATGACGCTACCCTGTGTCTATCGGTAATGACGCATCTTTCAGTGTGCGCTGCACTTGTTTGGTTGTTAACCTTGTTTAAAGATATATATATATATATATATATATATATATATATATATATATATATATATATATATATATATATATATATATATATAACTTTGTAATACGATGTATATCAGTAGTAAATCCTTACCACTGATTTTTTCGCTACTAAGCGTTAGTGAAACTTTTTATAGTTGCATAGAAGTTGGACGCGAGAACCCTCATACATGCCTTTTATTGGAGAAACCATTCTTGATGTTCTTTAACACATCCCAAGGTTATTCGACGATGTTTCCCCAATTGCTGTTATAAAAAAATTGGGATCAGCACGCCCCTTAACATCTGTGGCTGCGGTACCAGTCCACCGCACAATCTCGAGATCGCCTTCATTGATAAGGTATTTAAGAGACAGATCAGAGGGGAATCGGCGCATAAGTGCCATCGTTCATATAAATGGCACAGTTCAGGCACGAGTTTTGCCTCACATTTTGTAACAGGGCTTTCCTTCAAGAGATAACAAATTTCTGACAATTAATTAAGGCATATATAGAACAAGAAAACGGTAACCGAGAGTATAGAGGTCGTGGAGAACAAGAGTTGAGGAAGGTCTGGGTGTGTTGGTGTCTGGGCTTGAGGGTCTCTTTTTTAAATAATTTTAAGGAATCTGAATTGACGATGAATCTTAGGAAAATTTCTCAACTTTTCTCAAATTTCAGTTAACGTCTTTTGCGTATTGTGATTTTTTTCTGCTTGAAGTAGTTATATGGGGACTGCCATTGTTCATATGTTTATTAGCCATATTTTCCCTTTCCAAAGTTCATATCCTTATGTATATATCATTAATCCTCTTTCACAAATTAACTTTTACAATCATTGTTTTGGCTTCCGTCATAAGCAGAATAACTTATTCCTCTCACTTTTTCTAGGTGATCGTGTTGTAAGCGTAAACGGGGAGAGTGTTGCGACCCAGAGCTACCAGCAGGTTGTGAGCACCATCCAGCGTTCTCCACCTGTGCTCCAGCTTATGGTAGTCCCCAGGGAGGAGGACCTTTTGCAACAGGTGGGTCTTTCTCTCCTATGTTTGTATAATTGTTTGGGCAAGTAATACCCCTTCATCTCCTTTGAATTTATTTTGTTTATATTCTTTTATATATATTGTATAGTTTGATTTTTTTTTGTGCGTGCGTGCATGCGTGTGTCTGCCTGTCTGTCTGTCTGTATGTGCGTGTACGTGTCCCTCCACATGCATACATGTGTGTCCGTGTCTGTGCATGTTCATACTTTTATTTGTGTGTGTGTGTGTGTGTGTGTGTGTGTGTGTGTGTGTGTGTGTGTGTGTGTGTGTGTGTGCATGTGTGTGCACATGCATACATGTGCACGCGTGCACACGTGTGTGTGTGAGTGAGTGAGTGTGTGTGTGTGTGTGTGTGTGTGTGTGTGTGTGTGTGTGTGTGTGTGTGTGTGTGTGTGTGTGTGCGTGTGTGTGCGTGTGTGTGCGTGCATGCGTGTGCGTGTGCGTGCGTGTGTGTGCGTGCATGCGTGTGCGTGTGCGTGCGTGTGCGTGTCATTATTTAAAGATGAAGGTTGTGAGAATGCTACATGTTATACAGAATTATTAGATGACAGTAGTACCAGTACTGTAGCCTTAGCAATTTATTTGATTTTAATTTAATTGAGCAAATGATGAGAAATACCAAGTAACAAGCTATCATAACTGGGGTTTCTTTGCCTGTAGTAAAATTCAAGGACATGATTTTTAAAAATTTGTTATGTATGGTTAATTATTTGTGAGATATTTGAATGATTGTGCTTTTCTAGTATCAGATAGGAACTGGCTTTTGTATCTATTTTTGTCATTATTTCACTTAGTGCTTTATAATGAAGCCTAAAATTATTTTACATTAGTTATGAAATAAAATGTAGAGAAGTACTTTGTTCTCATGAAATTAATGTTTATATAAACAATTTCATTTCAATTATAATTTTGATTATATAATTCATAGTTCTGATGCAACTTAAGAAGCAATTATTTATAATCTTGTCTTACTTTCAGGTTTTTGGGGAGACAGCACACAACCCAGAAAGCAACTTGGATGTAAGAATGCCCACACCCAGCCCTGGCCACATACCTCCACAGCAACCTAACAGGCAGCATCTTCCACCAACAAACTTTTCACACTCGCCTTTGGGAATACCTCAATATCCACAGAATCTTTCTCCATCTGCGTGGTCATCACAGTCATCCCTATCTTCACATATATCTAACATGTCAACTGGTCCTCATCCGCCACCCGTTATGGTGGTCCATCCACCATTTCATCAGCGACCGCATCAGGCATCTGTGATCCCTCCACCCCATGGTGCACACATCCCCATTCACCCTCACCATCAGCAAACAGCAACCCGTCAAAACCAGGCAAATGTACAATATAGACAAGGACCTCGAAAGCATTCTCTTGCAAGTGCAGGGGATGCCAAGAAGTCAACAGTGGGTAGTGTCAATAGAAAACAGTCCTTACCAATGGTGGTAGATAGAAAACAAGCTGTGTATACCATTCAAAATACAATATCTGGAGTGCCTCATCATGTGCCTTCTCCACCTGGTAATCAAAGTTCTTTGCCTGCAAGTACAAATGCTACTGGTACTGCCCCTCAAGTAGCAACAAGTGAACATGCCAGTGCTTCTGTGTTTGGTGTTTATGAACCTATTTTAGATAGAGCTGTTGGAAGAGGAAGTTTTAGGGATAGCAGAAGGTTAGAACGTGATCCTGATGGACGTATATATGAAGTTGTCCAGACCAGAGTAGTGGAAAGCAAATTCAATACTGGTGACAGTGATAAGAAAGAAAGTGGTAGACAAAATAAAGGTCATCATTCAAACCAAGGAACTCACATAGGCCGGAAAACTTCAGTTGGAGATTCTGATGTTAAACGTGTTCGTGTTCAGTCACTCTCTCCTCCTAGACTGAAAATAGACCAAGTTCATGCCAGAAGTGCAAGTGTGAATACTCGATCTGAAGCCTTGAATAATAACGGTGTCAATGAAGGAAGTATTCATGGTAGTCATCAAAGTCTCAATAGCACAAAAAGTGAAGGGAAGAACACAAATCGCCAAAACTCGCATTCTAGGAAAAGCTACTCTGAACCAATTTCTAGTAATAAGGAAAATTATATGACTGATGACAAATCAACTCAAGAGGTAATAGAGAGAATCAAGAAGGACACAGAAAGGAAAGAAGAGTTTTTACGAAGACCTAATCAGCCCATTTGGCTTCCTGCCAGCAAAAGCCCTGTCATTCACAGTGACTATCATGTAAATCCACAGAAATTTCAGCGTCCCATATGGCCTCCGCCTGGAGCTCAGACCCCTCCTTCACCAGGAGCTATCACAAAGGCGCTCACATTCATTGTTGCACCAAAACAAGACCATTCTCATTTACGGAGGGTAAAGTCTGAGATTGAGCAGAGGCAAAATTCTACTGACAGTATTTCAAGTATGAGAGGAAGTAGTGTCCCAGCTGGTAGCAATTTGAGTGAGAGCTCAATAGCAGGTCAAGAGATGGATGGGACACCTGAGGCTGAACAAAGTTTGCCTGTAGCTCAAGGTGCTTCTGGTGCATTACCTCGTTCTTTGGTGGTCAATGCTGTTCCCAAACCATATGTTGGAAGTGCTTCTGAGGCTAACCCTGCAAATTTGAGATTTGGAAAGTCCTTCACAACAACTCTCTCTCGTATTCAGGAAAATATCCCCATACCAGAATATGGTTCATCGTCATCCCTCACAAGTCAAGGTCAGACAAGTAGTAAACAGGGAGATACTTCCCAGGGTGTCACCCCTGGAGGTACTCCAAGTGGTAGTCAAACTTCTCTAAATTCTGCAAGTCTCCGATCCATACCTTTAGCATGGGTAGGCGATAATGAGCGTATAAAGCAGCTTCAGATTGTATCCCGAAGAGCTAAGCAGTTTGAAAGTAGTCAGTTGGAGAAAGAAGCATCTGCTAAGTCTGCATTCCACCGCTTTGAGCTTTCTCGCCTGTCTCAACGCTCAAAGATACCCAATGTAGCTCAAAGGAAACAAGAATTTGAGACCAAAGACCAATTACCACCTGGTAAGTAGTTTTAGTACTCTCTTGTTTCTTGTGTTTGTTTTTTTCATTACTCTTGGAAGAGTTTTGTGGGAACCATATCTGTATGGTATTTTACTTTTCTAGTACAAAGTTCTGGTGTGCTGATGCTGTTGTAATTCATATTGAAGTTGTGATATTAGTGGGTGTTGTAGTGTTTAGAGGCAGTAGTTTCTGTAATTTCCTATTCTATAGCTTTTTGATATTCATTAGATCCAGTGTAGTTGTACACCTTTTAAGGTATTTTATCAAGACTTGCTTTTGTAGTGCAGTTTGATCTGATATTCAAAATATATTTCTAGACATTATTTTTGCAAACTGTATCCCATGTGGATTAAAAATATCTTGATAACTAACGATCTGAGTTAGTTATCATGTGTTTAAGAACGGATAATTCTGAAAACAAAACAAAAAACAATTTTTTTGTAGCTAGTGCCAATGAATTTGTTCAGAAATCTTTGATTGTGAGTTTACAAACAAGGAACACTATAGTCAGGCATCATAACTATGCAATAAGTTATTATCATCTTGAATAATCCAGAGTACACTCACATAGCTGTAAGTTAACAGTTGGATATTTTAACTCTGGAAACTGGCAATTCCCTGCATACAGAAATTATTTATGTGACTCTATGAATTCAAGTCATCAGCCACCAGGACTAGTCTGTGTATGAATATATGGGTCCATTGTATATTTTTGGCTTAATTTAACTTGATCTTAACTTGTGCTTTAAACTGGCAGTCATTGGCTTTTTTGTTGTGAGAGTGGCTAGCTTTAATATTTCATTCAGTATGGCAAGAGTTTCTGTACTTAGACTGATCTTTTTAAGTATTTATTTCAGGTGTGTAGGATTGCTAAATTGTAAAATGGATATTGAAGAATATCTTGTATATTCACCTTATCTCAACCTTCAAAGGATGATAAGTCAATGAGATTAGTTCAATGAGACATTCAAACATCTGGATAATAATATATTAGATTTTTAGAGGTTATGTCACCAGTAACACATATGAAATAATTCCCAATTACTATATAGGGATGTGTTTATTAAATTGAATAACAGATTTTCCTTATCCTCAAACTTTTATGATTCATAGGTTGGAATTAGCATAAAAGTATATCTATTATATGTACTAGGATTAGGGTTACTACTAATATTGAGTGCACTTATACTAATTTTTCTGTGTATTTAGAATTTTATCTTTGCTTTAATTGCATCCTGTGATAATGTATGGGTTGTTTCTTTTTATTTTTTATTTATCTTTTTTGTATAGCATGTTTAGTCGGTATGACTGTTGTTTTGTCCTACAGTGTTTTGTTTTTACATTCTTAATCATAGGTTTTGACTTTGAATTTGGCACACACTTCAATAACACACCAAGGCAGCGTAAGAGTGCAGAATTAATGAAAGGTGACCTGGTCTGTCATGAGATGTCTCCTTCACCTCCTAAGGTGTTTAGATCTCTCTCTGATGGAGGTAATGTGTTCCCTGTCAATAGGAGGCTCTACTCACCAACAGCAGGTAGGTTAAAGCTTTAGAGGATATGAAACTTGTAAGAAAAAAGTTACTTTTTTCAAAAAGGGTAAACAGTTTGTTATTAATTTATGATTACAAAGTAAATGAACTCATATGCCATGGTATTTTGGATTTAACACTTATCAGCCAAAAATATTTGCTTTTTACTTTTTTCTGTTTTGTAAAAGGGATTTGTAATAACCTTTGTTTTCAAAGATACGACATAAAAAAATTAGCTGTTATTTTTATGATATACCCATGTTTGTATATCTCTAGCATATAATCATTTGTACCATCTATCATTTTCAGAAGAGGGTGTTAAAACTGCGACAGTGTCAGAAGCTGGTGTTGTGAGACGGGTTGCTATAAATCGCACCATACCTGTTGGTGGTCCTCACATACACTGTGAACCACCACCTCTTTATGGTTCCTCTCACAGGCCTCAAAGTGATCCAGGTAAATTAAAGTTCACCTGTGTTTTTACAGTGTCTTTTCACTGATAAAGAAATAACCCTTTTAAGGACTAGGACAAGATATTATGAAAACAAAAACAAAAAACTCCATTGTACATTTAATTAGTAATATTAATATCTTTATTTTCTTACTTCTTTTATATATATGAAATCCATAGATAGCAGGACTTAAGGTTATATTTGCTTATAATAGTTTTGCAAGAACTTTCCTCTGCTTTTAATTGTAGGCATAGGTAACAATGAACAAAGCAATGAATGTTTCAATAAATTTTTTCTCTGTCTCTGCAGATGTTTTGGAGAGGGAACGATCCAATTCAGTTTGCTCACAGGTTTCTATGACGAGTCTCTTGTCGACACAGTCCATGGACGAAACGGGCAGTAGTCGACAAAAGGCAGTAGCTCGTCAGAATTCTTATCTCAGTGCTCTGCGGTCGCCACTTCATGGTGAGTACATGTAGTTGCAGAACATTTGCAGTGGTTTTTAAACCTTATGGTTGTGATTTTTTGTTTTAATTACACAAGTTAAATACCTTTATATAGACTATGAGGGTGTAATGTTTATTTTGTTATTATCATTAATTCTTACATATATTTATAGTCCAGTGTGCACGGTACTTCAGTGGTCTATTTTCAAGCTGTAAATATCTTCTCATCCAATAATTTAGAATTGACAAAGGTTAACTGTAGGCATTTGTAATTGTTGCTATGTCTTCATTTCAGTTAAGATTTTCTTTTTTTGATGTAGTGCTACTACTGTATTTCTGCCATGTACAGTAAAGTTATATATACTGTGGAATAAAGTTTAAGGCTAGCAATAAGATGATCACTATAAAGTTTAACAGTACATTTGATAATGTATACTTTTAGAAAATGTTCCTTTATTGTTTTAATACTAGACTCTAGCAATATAGTAAAATATACCAACCAGTCAGAAATGTAAATCATATTGTACAATATTATGCCAGCCTACTTTGTTTTAATATTTTCATTAATTGTATATACCACCAGAACCCATACACCCTTTTTATCCAAGAGAAGTACTGTGCCCTGGTTTAGGTGATGTAGCGTGCATTTGATAAAAGGGATAGCTTAGATTAGAGCAGCTCCACACTTTCTTTGATCATGTCTGTGCATAACTGAAATAGTTTCTATTTTCTATACTCTGCTTTATGAATAGATATAGGAGATATATACATTACTGGTCCTTTGCTGTGAGTATGTTTGGTTTTGTTTTCTGTACACAATTAGGAGTGATTAATTTAGTCTGAACATTGTTTGAAAGATTCGCTTGATGATTAAGAATTTTTTAGAACTGTAAACAAATGTTGTCAGATACTAAATAAAAAAATGGGTGAATGTGTGAAAATACAAATATGTGTATTTGTCTGTGTATTTGAAGGTTGTACCAATTTTGTCATGAGATTATATATTGTCTGCCTATGAAATCTGATTTCACCTGCTATATTTCTCTGCAAATAGGATTGAAAGCAAAGGTAAAGTAATGTATTTTCCTATCAACTAAATTATTACCTCAAAAAAATTTAAGAGCACAAGGCACAGAGATGATAACTATTTTCATTATCCATTTTCCTCCACACTCCCTTGATAGTATCCTGTATTCCTGCACATATAAGGTTTTATGGCACTACTGTACTTGCTGCACAGTCTTGTATGCGCTGCACTGTGTTTTTAGCTGTTTTATGTTGCTACCCTTCCTGAGGCTGATGATGTATGTTTGGAGAATTGCTTTGCATTTGCTTCTGTTTTTTTGTGTTTTTTTTCATTGAGCTTCCTTTTTCCTGTATTCCCAAAATGCGTATTGTGTGTGCTTTTTTTCAGTGAAAATAAAGAACTTATTGTATACGCCGGAGAGAATGAAGCTGGAACACAGTTGTTAATTTTTCTTTTTAAAAGGTGCAAGCAGTATTTTGGTGTTTTTATGGTGTTGCATATTCAACATTTGTTTTGGTATGACGAACTAGTTTATTTAGCATCAGATTGTTCTTTGGAATGATTATGCTGATGTGGCTGTTGATGTTGATGTTTTGTTTTGGTAAGGAAACATGATGAAGCACGTGAAATCTTTATTTTGTCACAGAGGGAAGGGGCAGGGTTAGATTATAAAAAATTGTGGTTCCTCGCATGACATTTTAGCTTATTGTGAAAACTGTCTTATTATTTCATATTTTTTTCTTTCTTTCTTTCTGTTTTTAGTTTTCCTTCTTTCCCTTTTTCATTTGTTTCTTCCTCCTCCTCCTCTTCCTCTTCTACTTCTTATTCCTCCAAATTTTTTTTTGTCTTCATCACCTTCTTTTTTCTGCATTTTCATCTTCTTTTTCCTCCTCCTCCTCCTCCTCCTCCTCCTCCTCCTCCTCCTCCTCCTCCTCCTCCTCCTCTCCCCCCCCCTCCTTCTCCTCCTCTTCCTCCTCCTCCTCCCTCCTCCTCCTCCTCCTCCTCCTCCTCCTCCTCCTCCCCTCCTCCTCCTCCTCTCCCCCCCTCCTTCTCCTCCTCCTCTCCCCCCCTCCTTCTCCTCCTCCTCCCTCCTCCTTCTCCTCCTCCTCCCTCCTCCTCCTCCTCCTCCTCCTCCTCCTCCTCCTCCTCCTCCTCCTCCTCCTCCTACTTCCCCTTCTCCCCCCCCCCTCCTCCTCCTCCTCCTCCTCCTCCTCCTCCTCCTCACCCCCCTCTTCC